GGGTGTCATGTACGTCAGATGTAGACGCATTGTCAAAAGCATCAGTTTAATGACGCCTTGGGATGAGACCGGGCTCACAGAACAGAACCAACAGGAATGTATTGCAGATATCATTCATTCAAGATTTTTAGTACAACATAATTCGAGAATTTATTCTGATTCAATGGGCTCTCAGAAGGCCAAATACTGACTGGACGAGAGGAGGAGCTGGGGATGGAGGAGGGTAATTCGCTCCTGAGAAACGCGATAGCTGCTGATACTGAAGGAGCTTGCATAGTGATAGGCGTCATATTCCTATAGTGAATGCGATTTCACCAAGTACCACATGTTCCTGGATCAACATCTTGTTGACTACATTAGGTTAGTACTACATTTTGGGACAGGAATGTTGATCCAGGATCAACAAAATATGTTGATGTGGGTAGATGTGGTGGATCAGTTGAGAGTCAGCTGATGCTAGCTTGACTAACATAACCAGCCAGAACTAACACTACGCTTAATGTTGTTCATTTCCAATATGCTGAAAAGTGGCAATTTGTTATGTGACCAATCTCTTTTTTCTTATACTTGCTGCCAATACCATCATGACGTATAGTAAAAGTTATGTTTACTGTGCTGTCTCTAGCTCGAAGTTAAGTTTTATAAATAATAATAAAAAAAAACATATTTCAAAGATATGGAGGCTACTGTGATAACTTTCTTCAGATAACGAATCCAGTGACATTTTTTAGTTGTGCTTTATGGAAACCTGTAAATTGTAATTAAATAAACACAACTTAATGCATTTAATTCAGAAATGCATACAGAACAATAAAAAAGCTGTCTTCTAACCGTAAGAAACATCCAACACTGAATAATTCGAAAACATAACTACTATTTTACAAGAAAAAGTAAGGTCCATCATTAACCCTAAACATCAGTGGGGCATAAACAGATTGTACTTTAAGATACAAATGAGATCATACGAATTTTATATGAATTAGCTGCAAATTTAGGTCAGAATTGCTTTGAGATTGTTTTTGGACACTTGTTTGTAGGTGTCAGTTTCCGTGTAGCGATTTTTGTGACTCAAATGGGTGTAAACGGTATATTTTTGAACCACACATGCTGAAAACATTACAAAAATGAACTTTCACTGATGTTGATTCAGGAAGTTTGTTTTTGTCATTAGTAGTCCCAGTGAGAGTTCTCTCATGACAGTGATGGAGTGAATTTCACAAAAACAAGTCCAGGTCATATTTCACTCCAAAATCAGATCATAACACGTATAAAGAAAATGCATCCAAGGTCAAAAAAACACTCATCATATACATTGCAGCATCACCTATTTTCTCACAGTGTCTAAAACGGTATGAAAAAGGATGCATTCTCTCTAAACCTGTCCTTTCTGAGAGCCTACTCTTCTCTGATTGGTCAGATGGCACATTGTTGTGACTGGTCTACCGCTAACAGAGTGTGTCAGAAAAAAAAACACGTCCATTACCATATCTGAATTTCTGATCCGCAGGCTTCCTCAGCACAGTGCTTATCAGTAATTGAACAGTAATGACGGGGTCAGGTTTACCACTTCAATTCAAGCCCGAGTCCTCGTCTTTTGGAAATGCATGCAAAATTAATTTGCTTTCTCAACATGAGCCAAACTCTTCCAGACCTCAGCTACAGCTACAGTGTTTGAGGGAAAGTAGACGTTCATGAAAACGGCTGCCGTTAGGCAAATTTGTTCCAAACCATAATTGGTTCTTTCTTTAGGGAGACTATAACTCCTATTGAAACTTTGCAGACTTGTTAGATTCACAAACACTAATGAAACGTAATACCTGAAAAAGCATAAAAGGGGCACTTTATCTCAAATGTTATATACTGTCTGGTTGAGAACTTCTTTTAAAAAACACTGGCGGGAAAAGTGTTAATTTGATAATCATTTAGTACGATGATATATATGATTTATGATGTTCCAGGGCCAGGTTTGAAGGGCCACAATGTCACTGTTTACTGCTTTACCCTGAAAACTGGAAATAACAAGAGAGAAGCTTAAAGGGTTAGTTCACTTTTAAAAAAAACTTTTGCTGATAATTTACTCACCCCCATGTCATCCAAGATGTCCATGTCTTTCTTTCCTCAGTCGAAAAGAAATTTAGGTTTTTGATGAAAACATTCCAGGATTTTTCTCCATATAATGGACTTCAATGGGAACCGGATGGTTCAAGGTCCAAAAGATAGTGTTAATAACAGTTTCAGATGCAGCTTCAAATGTCTTTAAACGACACCAGACGACGAATAAGGGTCTCATCATGCGAAACGATCGGTTATTTCAAAGCTTATTCCAAAAATGTAACTTTTCTAAGGACAAATGCTATCTATCTATCTATCTATCTATCTATCTATCTATCTATCTATCTATCTATCTATCTATCTAGCCAACAAAAACCAAAAACATGATAAGATAAACAGTCAAGTTGATAAACAGGCAGGACAACTGACTGGATGTTTTGTTTTTGTTTTTTGTTGTTGTTTTTTTGTTTGTTTGTTTGTTTTTTGGAGAGTTTGGGTTATTACAGTTTTTCTCCGTCACTTTGGTGCATTTATCACATCACTATTTACATTTCCACAACAGTTACTGCAGTTCTCAAAACAATTAGTACAAACTGCAAAACTTAGTTGATAACCTGTAAAAGTGTCACTTGCTCAAAATGCTCAAAAAAGTGTCCACAGGTGTTTCTTATCAACCACGCCCCCTTGTTATCTTGATTAGCTTAGTGTATTTAAACCCCTGTGTTTCAGTTGTTGCCTGTCGGTTGTTGTTTAAATGTTACTTGGTTCCTGCATATTTATCTGTCCTGTTTGGAGTTCCCTGGATTATCTGTTAGCGTCATTAATAAAAGCTTGCGATTGGATTCACTCTCCGTTTCGTTCCTGACCGGATGTAACTATCTATCTATAAACCCAACAATAACCAAAAACATGATAAGATAAACACAGTCAAGTAAGATAAACAGGCAGGACAACTGACTGGATTTTTTTTTTTTTTTTTTTTTTGGAGGGGGGTGGGATATTATTACCCAATTTGAGCAGGAAGTGGCATCAGCCATGCTTGAATTACTTATTTATTGAAACATTTTGATTTAAGCCACATCTGCACCTCTAATCAAGGTCCATCCCTCTCTGCAAAGTTGTTCTTGCCCATCATGCATTGAGTCTTTATATGACTGGCCACTGTGCACTTTAATTGCTTCTGCTCACTAACTGACGTGTCCTGTCGTATCACGATCGAAGCAATGTTCCAAATTAAGACCGATTCCTAATCGGACCCAGCAGAGAGACTAGAGTCGGAGCTCTGGAGTACAGCTGGTGTGCATGTGAACAAGGGCACTAGTGCATTGTGGGAGAAGATCTGTCCTCTATTACTGCAGACCTCTCATCGTGCTCTTCACACCAAGAGCTTATTGATCGCACCATTCCAGATCCCCGCTCATAATATGAGCACCTGGACGGATTGGTCAAATCTGTCTCCATGTTTGCCTGTTCAGAGCCACCAGGGTCATCCATGAACAGAACAACAGAACAATGATGAGTGTCACAACTGGTGCAGTTTAGTTCGCCAACAGCCATTTCTCCAGAATAAAAAAAAAAAAAATTAACTGTTTCCAACATTAATAATAAATCAGCATATTAGAATGATTTCTGAAGGATCATGTGACACTGAAGACTGCACGGCTGAAGAAAATTTAGCTGTGCATCACAAAAATAAAGTATATATGAAAGTATATTAAAATAGAAAGTCATAATTTAAAAATAATTTGATCAAATATATAAATATCTTCTCTGCTATCTCACTTCAAATTCAGTAATTGAACTGCAATTAAATTTGTGCACAAGAATGTAATCTAATAAAAATCAGTTTGTTGCTTGCATTAATATTACCAACTAATTACATCCGCTATGAGTATTGAATTGTGAAACATGACCATCTGGATAACTGAGAATCGACACTACATATTGCTTAATTTGACTTCCACGTACAATATTTGTACAAGCAGTTTATTTTATGCCTTGAGTAAACAACGTGTGCAAACATTCTACTTGTGACAGTAATCGTTCTCACTAATTTTGCTCTTTACTGATAGATACTCATAATTTATGACCTGTGAATCTGCCTTCACTTTCAAACCAAAACAAATAAGAATAAAACGAAATAATTTTGCATTTACCGAGATCTGAATCTGTTATATATAACTTTAAATAATAAACGTGAGAATGATTTTCATGGATATATATATAAATATATATATTTATATATGAATAGTTCAGATGCAAAAGCCTCTAAATGCCATTTGAAATTTTCTTCTTTAATGATGATTTTTATCAAACTTGTATATTTAAGTTCAGTAATTTCACTTAAATAACAATTAATAGGTAATTATCATTGCCATTTAAGTGAAATCACTGAACTTAAATATACAAGCTTGATAAAAATTATCATTCTAGAAGAAAATTTCAAATGGCACTTAGAGGCTTTTGCATCTGAACTCTTCATATACAGTATATGTGTGTGTGTGTTTGTGTTATAGTGAGGAGGAGCTATTTGGGGTAATTTTGTGGAAAATGTGTCTTTAATTGTAACAAAAGTATAATAATTTAAAAAAAATCATAAAAATCAGCTTTATTTTCTGTGTACAAAGTACAATTTCTTTTTTTCTCTCTCTAAAGCGTGTTTGATCCTGAAGCTGTCTGACGTGGGTTATTGTGGTATTCTACAAATCTGTCAGCTCTGCTGGCGTGTTGCGACTTGTGTGTTGGCAAAGAGAAGTTACTTGTGTGTGTGTGTGTGTGTGTGTGCGTGTGTGTGCGTGTGGTCAGAATACAAGAGAAAGGGAAAGGACTGGATGTATTTATGGTAAAACACTGTATTTAGATAAAAGGTTTACAGATTTTGATCTCTGGATTTAAGTAAGATATCTAAAATGAACATCAAATCAAATTAGTAAATTAAATGTAAGAAATGCATCTCTTTATTTAGTAAGAAATATGTTGTATGGTAAGATTGGCATTCGGATTTGTCTCCAAGGTTCGTTTACTAAAAGACTTGAGTTAGAATGGCAATCTGCTTGCAGACAAGACCAAGATCTGCTGAAAAGCACGTACTGTGGTAAGTTACTGTTGACATTTGCCACATTATATAAACTGAGGTGTTTTTTCAGACTGCTCGTCAGAAGTCGTAATTTGTACTTTGCTCTTTTTCTTCTCTGTTGAAATATTTGGAGTTTGTTATACCGTAGTGAATTCTGAGAAAGAAAGAAAAAACATATTCGGTAGGCTGTAATTGTACTATATTATGACATGTCATATACATTGTGGTCAGTATTTTTTGCACCCAAATCCACATTATTGCACCTGTTGTCATGACACTGGTTCTCTGGTTTCTCTGCCTGTTGACAAGACAAATATTTAAAAATCTGTGTGTTTTAGTCTGGGAAATGTCATTTTAGAGCATTGTGTCACCTATAGTATGTGTTTTAAACAGCAGATTTTGTTGGGACATTGATCATTTAGAATGTATGTGAATCAAATCAAATATAAACAAACATTTTGATAAGATCTTTAGTAGATGTTTGTACATCATAATTAATACTAGATTATTTCCAGACATCTTAACTTTATTTGTTAATAATGTCTAAAATCTGCAAGTAATACTGTAATGATTTTAATGTAAAAGCATAAAAAAGCTGATTGAATTAATTATCTTATTAAACATTTGCAAAATGATTTTGCTGCCGAAAAAAATTAAGACTTGAATATGTGAAAATGATTTCATGTGAGATTATTTAAATAGTGGGGTTTAAACCTCACTTTAGCATCAATGGTGTTAAATAAGTAAATAAATAAATCCAGAATCAATTCCGATGCAGAATTTGCATCACCACTTAAAATTATTATTATTATTAGACATGAGAATGATTAATTTAGCAGACAAACAGCGTAAATCAGCTTTTTAAAAGTAGATTTACTCGGTTTATTTCCTTTATCATTCCCATTACATATTTTCAATGAACTTTCCTGTAACTGAAAAAACAGTCCACCCATTTTAGCACAAATAGAACACATACTAATAACTATTTATACATAAAAAAAATCTGTTTATAGAGAATGTATTTTTTTTTCTAAAGGGCCACCCAAACCAACACTTTATAACACTTTATTATTAATATTATTTTTTCCTGTGGCACATGTTTTTCATCTGGGCCCTCGTCTCTAAAGTGCCATGGTCAGGCTACGAGACTCACCAGGACAAATGTATGCAACCTGTTTTTCACTCTACATAAAAGAAAGAATGGGGTCATGTTTGGCCTTTATTTTCAGTGAAGTTCTCAGTTGTTCCAGGGACAGTAATCTTTAATGATAACATCTGTGTCTCAGTGCCAAACCACCATTCTGGGGTTCTCATAAATGCCTTTGTGTAGGCCGGCTTGAAAAGATAAACTCATGTTTTCCTTAGAATAATCTTGAAATCTTTCTGACTCAAATGTAAAAGATAATGTGCAATTCTGTAAAGGCTTGAAAAACCTGTGTCAGGTCTGCCCTTATACAATAGACAGTATATTGTATTGATCATAGATAATGTTTTGCACTGCAGTTTCTTTTAAACTCTCTACATTTTTGTTTTGTTTGGGTTTAGTAAATAGGAGTTCCCTTTCAAGGGAACTCGACGCTGCGTTCTTACCACCGTGTCTCAAACGCAGCGTCCAGGGTTACATACGTAACCTGAGACGTGTTGTTGTTTGTTTGTGTTTTTTTTTTTTTTTTGCAGCAGAAATTCACTACAAAAAATGAAAGACCCTTCTCAGAGTGGCTTTATGGAAGGTACAGTTTATGAAAAAAAAAAAAGAAGGTCAGAGACAGAATTGCTGCAGTAAATGCTTTTTTTGTAACAGGACATTTCTGCAAGATAAAAAATATGCAAAATGGCTGCCATTTACAGTATTACTGTATTTGAAAATACAAAATATACAAACAGAAAAAGCCATCTTCTAATCTGCCTCGTCTTCTGCATTTGGCCATGGCCACATGTTATCATCTACATCACAACTGATATCTTCTCTGGCAAGACATTGTGGGAAGAATCTTTTGTCATTGCCTTATCCACCCCTGTGTTCAGCTGTGATGTCTTGGCATGCAGCATCTATTGCATCCAGGAGGGAAATTTGGTCCTGTCAAAAACCTTCCATCTCCAAGCTGAGAAAACTCCTCAATGGGGTTGAGGAAAGGGGAGTAAGGGGGAAGGAAAAGGGACATCATCCTCTGATGGGCTTCAAACCAGGCTGTGACTGGGAATGGTGGAATGCCACATTGTCCAATATTTGCAACTTCAATCAGCTGTTTCTCAGTAGCAATGGAATAAAATACAGGAGATATGTTTCAGTTCACAATATGAACAGCTGTTCAGTTTGACTTTAACCTATAAGTTAGGTTTAGATCATGATGTTATCTGTTCTGACATACAGTGTTAAAGCATTTGTAAATTTGGCAGTAAAAAATACAATGTTTTGGTCTTGGTTGAGCTTGTGCGTAAAAAAAAAAAATTCAAGCATTTTAAATTATTTTAGAAATTAAAGGTGACGTGACTTGTCTTCTAGGGTATTACTAGGTGCTGATAAGGTGATTTGGTTGGTTTCTGGGGGAGGGGGGGTTGGCATTCTGGCCCAAGTCACAAAAGCCCACCGCCAAGTCTCTATTTTGGATTCTAGATATGGCTCAGGTACCTCTTTCACTGTAAGTTTATGGGATTTATTTTGATTCGAGTTTGATTACCTAGAAAAATAATAGCATGAGCCATTCATATTTTACAAGTGATGTTATTGTACAGTGTGTGCTAAGTTTTTTACTTAAGATTGGAAATTTGAACAAACCCTCAAACTAACGAACAATTATTAGTAATACTGCTAATAACTTGAAACACCAGTAAACACCAATACTTGTCATACAGGGTGCTGAGTTACAGAGGATTTTTTGTTTTCATGAGAATGTGTTCATATTTCTGAATGGAGAGAGGCAATATTTTACCTTAGAAACTAAAAATAGACCCTCAGCCACTGAACCTTTACCACAGATATAAATAAACCAGAAGCCCTGGCTGACTTTCTCTTCAAGTCAGTCTGAATCAGAGCAGAGAGTCCTTGAATTCAGACCTACAGACAGTCTAGCGAGGCCTGTTACTTCTCTTTTTGAGCTTGTGGGCCAGATGTCTTCATTCACTAGAATTTTTGAATGAAACGGTTTCATTCAGAACATAAACTTGTGTCTTTTGTCTTCATCACAGACATAACATAACAAATTAAACTTGTTTTAACTGAGTTTCTAGAATGTCTATTCAGAAACAAAATATAATTGCATCTATGTTGCAATTCTCAGTATTCCTTTGATCAAATGTTTGGCATTTTCTTCTTTTTAGTTGCCAAAATGTTTTAGTCAGATAACTAATTTCCTATCACCTATGTCTGTTACAGTTTCGATGTGGAAAATGGGTTGTCTATCGGGCGCAGTCCACTGGACCCCAGTCCAAGCTCTGGTCTGGTCCTCCAAGCAAACAGCCAGAGGCGAGAGTCTTTCCTTTACCGCTCGGACTCGGATTTCGACATCTCGCCCAAGACGATGTCCAGAAACTCCTCGACAACCAGCGAACTGTGAGCTTTTACCACATACTAAAGCAAAATATGTCATAGTATTCTGTCATTGAACTGGCTCAACTCTTTTTCTGTTCAGAGTGATTTCTTGCTTAATTATTACTTCATCTTTTGGCATGTAGCTCCTAAGAGTAGCTCTAGAAGCAAGTGTGGGATAGATGTTGTAATAGTGTAAATATAACGACAGTGTGAAAAACCATTCACAACCAAGAAATGCTTAAAAAAAGGAAAATGTAAGATGGGATTGGGAGTGCAGAATTAAGAAATAAGCCTTTCATTAAAAATGTCAATCAATAAAGTGTGTGTGTGTATGTGTGTAGTGATAATATATATGAAACAAGGACAAAACTTGGGATTATCAGCACTTTCTAGGCAGGTGAGAGGAGCACGTGTGGAGACCAGACAGATGAAGTAAACAGTGGAGCAACGGAGTAGCCGACAGACTATGGAGAACAGATGATGGAGAAATCCAGGTAAGTATATCCAACAGGTAAGATCAACACCTGTGACACAAGTGTCTGAATAGTCTTTGGTAAACATTGACAAAACCAAAAAAAGTATCCCTGCGTCCCAATTCGCATACTATCCGTCCTAAATAGTATTCGAAAATAGAATTAGTACGTCCCAAATCGTAGTATGTTGAAATGAGTGTTTCAAAGATACCCGGATGGTCTACTTTTTCCGGTCAGAATCCGAAGTGTAGATCGATGCACACTCTAACGGCTGATATTGCCCACAAACCATTGCGCGTTGGACGAGGATTCGGTTAGAACTACAAACACGAGTAAAAAAGTGTTAAAAAACTACAGCACGTAGTCGATACGGAGGACGCGCGAGTCCCCGCGGTTGTGTAGAGAGGTTTAGATAAAGAGCTTCGAGTGATTAATCATCAGTATCTAAACTGACGAAAATGAATTTATTCAATGTTGTCCACATTATATTGCATTTGCAGCAGCATTGTGAACTTTTGTAAAGACACGTTTTAGCCATTACGTTTTAAATGCATCATTATATTCAAATTGCAAACACATCTGGCAGATGAACGTGCTCTCCGAAACGGTAGGAAATAAAATTAGATAGAATGGAGGATTTTAACTGTGACAAGATGATTGACAGGGCAGTTTACGGTGACAGGATGCACGCAGCACGCGACAGAGCTAAAGATGACGTGATAGTATGTCCCAAAGCTTGCCTACTCTTTTGCTACACACTCAAAAGTATGTACTTTTTCCTCACAAAAAGAGTACATACTTTTAGGGCGTAGTATAGACGAATCCGACGAGCGTTCTTGTGTAGGCTGCCATCTTGTGGCGACGCCATTACTGAGCTGTTACACCGGCATAGACATATGCACCGGTATGTAAACAAACCTCGGAGATAAGGTGATAACGCACCCTTGATGACAGCTACAGCCAGGCAGACTTGTTGGGTTGATGATGTTAGACATTGGCCTCCAGTCACAGATGAAGGTACAAACGATCTTACAGATTATTTATGAAAATAGCTTGGCAAGCAAGCTAGGCTAACGTTTGCTACCGAGGAAACTAAAAAAAGATCTGTCCATTTGGCAACAATAAATAAATAAATGAAATCAAATAAACAATTTCATGTTTTTCATTTGTGTCCATTATTTATCTCATTTTTACATGCAACGGGCATGGGTAAGGTAACGTTACAGCTAGAAAGTATACATAATATCGACCAACTACTGTTTTTAAACCATGGAAAGAGGTCAATATAACAGCAGGAGAACAATTATGTCACATAACGTTACATTCAGCTCAGGAAAGCCATTTAATGACCATAGCATGTAAATTGAATAGAAAAAATAACAAGAGAGGAGATTTTGCTGATCACTATATCACATATTTATTATATTTTTTTTAATTATGTCATTAAATAATTGTTATTATACGCGAATGTCCGCGTCTTGTACTCGCCCAGGAAATCTGTAAACCGTACGGCACCAGACAGGGGCAGTCGACCCGGGTATTCACAGTGTTTCTCTTCAAAATTGAAATTTACTGCCACCATTAAAACAATTTATAACGGAAACTGTTTACCCACTCGACATTATACAAGGGCTAACGTTGTAACGTTAGTGACAGTCGTAAATCGCGAGCTGTTTATTCCAGTGGACGCAAGTTGCAACTAAAACAATAGGAGGCAATGGCGCAACGCTACCCAGCAACAGCTCAGTAATGGCGCCCGCTTACTTCCGGTAGTTTCGCCGGATTCGTCTATAAGTAAGCGAATTGGGACGCAGCATACGTGTGCATGTTAGCAGACTATAAATGCAGTCGTTGATGAGCAGGTAAATGGTGACCAGGTGCTTGCGCAATTAGAATGCAGGTGAGATTGAGCAGAGTGCACTTCTTACTGAGGATAGTGAGGGAAAGCTTGGTGTAGCCATGGCCCAAGGTGGAGTAGGGGACCAAGGCGGAGCAGGAAGCTCCAGGATCTACCAAGGCGGAGGAAAAGACCTGAGGGAGGTTGGCTAAGTGGGAGACCTCAGGGATGCTGGGAACTCTGGGATGAGGAAAGGCCTTAGGCAAGCTGGCCGAGAAAGGGACCATGGTGGAGTTAGCAGAGATGGATTATCTTTATGTGATGACTAGGGTAGAAGCAGATGAAACAGAGGATTGTGTACCATGTCCATGACGAAGGAGAGGGACACAGTTTTTTGGATGATGAAGATGAGGGAGTGGCGAGATGAGGGGAAGACAATGGCCTCCGTGGCTGAGACAAGCGAGCCGGAGAGTGGCAGTGACTGCGATCACTGGACTTAAGACCAACCAGAATATCTGACTTGGGACAACCCTTACCACCCAACTTGGACCACCTATATGAACTGACTTGGAAACACTGGACTTGGAACCACTTTGACTACTGGACTCAGGGCCACTTGACCAGAGAGCTTGGGTCTTAAGACTTGGGAGCTCTCCAGAGTGTTCAAAAGACAGATTTCTTCCTCCAATGGGGTGCCCGGATTGGAGAATGGAGGGTTAGAGGGGTCAGTGGGAGGAAATCTTAAGTGGAATCTGGGAAGTTCTAAATGACTACAGTGGACTGAATAGGCCCTGGAGAAACTTGATTGGAGCAACTAAGGGTCCTCATCCAC